TGGTGTGTATCATGAGTGATTTTTAACTTAATTTTACTGACCGAGTCATTTGATGTAAGGAATGTTATTTTGCTGAGCACTAAGGAGTTGGCTTGTTTCTTTCTCCACCATTTGATTTCCCGTATGCTTCCCTAACCTACAGGTATGCATGCATGTACAAGAACATGTATGTGTAGTAAAATATTAAATAAACATCCAACCTTCTTTGGGATAATGTTATGATGCATACAACTTTCATAATGGCAATACATACAATATGCTTCCTTACATGACTTGATAGTGGTACATAGAGTATGAATATAATGATACCCTGACCAACAATGAAGATTGTCATGATGTATGCAATGAAGATAAGCTCCTTCGAAAAGAATAATACATTTCCTATCCAACTAATGCCCATTATGATAGTCAGTGACAATGATACCTTCATCCAATGTCTATATAATGTGTACTTGTAATCATTATTTATTTTGATCATCATCCTCACTTTATTTGATTAGTTTCTTTATTATGGATCTTCTTTTTCTGGTGACTCCTCATTATACAGATAGACATAACAAAGAAGCCAATGTTTGCCTGTGTCAAATGATATTAATTAGTATTTTAATGTACTAATTATTACAATAATAATGAGTATGACAGGACCAATGAATGACCATATAAAATGGGTCTCATAATTTAGCCAGCACCTGGAATAATTTTTTAAAATTTCAAATAATAAAATTTATAGAGCTAACGCTGTAGGATGACTATCTTTATAGTAATAGTAAAGATAGTGACTTTATGAGTTATTAACCAAAAATCCGATTGGCACTATAATGTCCACACTTACATTTCTTCTATACACGTTGTATTGGAGAAATAACAAGCCTTAGCAACCACCCGCCCACGCTCCTTTAAGTAAGTAGGTGTGGCCACAGAAAACAAAATGGCGGCTTACACACGGGACAAAGTTATGAGCTTTCTAACAGCCAGAGAACATAGAGATACTGTTTAACAACTTCTCTAGAAGCATTTGCAGGTAGAGAGAACCTCTGTAAGTCTTAATAAGTGCCTAGCTATGCATGCAAGGTGGTGAAATCAATTATAGGAATTATTTTTACACTGTTACGCTTGTTTCATTGTGACCACACCCGCTTTCAATTAGTGGTGGGCGATATATCGATATTTTATCGATACAAACGATATTTTACGGTATCGATTCGTATCGGTATCGAAATTTTGAAGGAATCCGGATCGATACGTTGACCACGCCCATTTATTATGGTTAAATAATATTAATAATGAAAATTTTAATAAGTTAATGACGTAAATACACACACGTGGATACACGTGCATGAAAACATCGATGAAAACAGTCAATAATAAGGGGTGTGACTCCATAGGTGTGGTCTAAATATCGTATCAAAACTGTATCGATACTCTCGATATGAGCTGATATCGATCGGTATCGTATCGAATCCATTTTGGCCAGTATCGCCCACCACTACTTTCAATGAAGATTGCTAACTTTAATAATAGTTAGATCATAGATACTATATACCCCTGGATATGAAACACGGCCCGACCGGATGTTCTGAGGCTTGTTTCACCGGAAATACGTCATATTACGTTTTCATTCAGAATAAAAATAAAACAATGATAAAAAGTATTATTATTGCTAATAAAAGTGTGATTTTATGTACAATAATACAATAAAACTTGACATTTATCATGCATTATAATTGCTGAAACTTTCCTTTTCTTTTAGTATATGCAGTCTACCAATGCATGACTTTCCCATCTCTTGTCACCTAAAAATGATGATTTTGACAACACAATTGCACCAAAACTAAAAATACACTCCTTTTGAGAATAGGCCCACTACAACTACCTATTCTTAAGCTACAAAACCATATAGAAAAAGTTCCAATTAAGTCAAGTATTACAAAGAAAAATTGGCTAGAAAGGTGGGGCTTGAAAAACCAAGATTTAGAAAATAACAGCTCTTTTACTTAACACAAACTCTAAATAATAGCCCCACTACAACTAGTAAACAATAACCTATCAGTACAATAAAAAATGTTAGCCTAATTCAACAGAGTTAAGCTAAAAAAGTGGCTTGAGTGAAATGTACACAACAAGTAGGCTATGACATCCATTGTAGAACTAAAATATGCACTCGAACTATCGTTTATGAGCATTATTTCAATATATAAAGGCTTTGCAAAGTCCTCTGAGGGATCATTCAGCTACTTTAACAAACGAATAGGCTACTGTGATTGTTTTACTTACCCTGGCAGCCATGAATGCAGCGAAACAAGGGTGAGGACAGCCGGATGTGACGTTTATGACGTTTCCTTATGGGATTTTATATGTGTGCATAGAGGAGTTTTGTATCCAGGGGTATATAGTATCTATGATCCTACTTAGTAACGCTACTGCGTTACAATAGCCTTAGGTATTCTTCAGAATTTTTGCATTTTCTTAAAATGGCTGTAACTTGAAAAATTTAAGTCGGAATCAGCTCAAACTTGCTACACAGCATAAGGACATAAATATGTATCAGAAAATCCATTTGTTGGAAAAAACCATGGGCTATTAGTAACGTGGTAGCGTTACTAAGTAGGATTCACCCCCAAACAAAATGGCTGCCACGACTTTTGCAGCCTTGCTATATTATAATAGCCTTCGGTATTTTTCAGAATTTTTGTGTTTTCTTAAAATGGCCATAACCTGAAAAATTAAAGTTGGAATCAGCTCAAACTTGCTACACAGCATAAGGACATTAATATGTATCAGAAAATCTAATAAAAAATT